CTAGTGCGTCTCGGGTAGTTTCCCAACATTAAACAAATGATGTGACCGGTTTTTTGGGGGGAGACATACGTCGAAGTTTAGAAGGTATGCAAAGTCCTGAATGAAGGCGTTGTTTCTTCTTTAGAATAAAAGATTTGTCTTTCGTAAAACTGTGTGTATTGGCCGGGTGCTCGAGTCATTTAGCCTTTATTATTGTTGAAGTTTGAAAGCTTGGCCTTCTTCAAAGGTTTGCAAGGGATGCAGACAACACCAAAGTGAGACCTGTTCAAACATTCCAAGATCATCACAGCATGCCCCATAGAGTAGCTCAGGGTATAACCCACTGCTTATGGAGCATTGAACCATATTAAACCCATTGCTGGTTGAAGCAGCATTGTCAGAATTGATTCAAGGTGATGGTTGAAGGTACTTTGGGCCTAGAGACAATGTAAATCGAGCATAAGTCATGCACGAGCTCGTTGAACAAACTGAAGAACTCGTTTTTCATCGCGGCCTTTCTGCGATTTCTGCTTGCGACAGGTGAGCAAAGGAACAGAATGATCGAGACGAGTTGCACCACAAAGCTTTGATCAACTAGAGCCGAGCAGAGACGAATTGGGCAGGAAACGCCACAAGATTCCCTTGGAGGTTCAGGTCTAGCAAAATGTAGTTGAGTGACAGGTGGGCTGGTTCACCAGCACGCTCGAACGCCATCTCTAACGTCAACGCAGTTGCGCATGCTCTCACCTGTGTGTTCACGTATGTGGCTCTTTAATGTATGCTCTCTCATGTATTGCTCACATGTGTGCTCTCATTTGATGGTGCTTTGATGCGTAAGAACCTTTACCTACCCCAATGTTTTGCAGCCAGAAGATGGGAGCATGCACGGAAAGAAGGTGCAGGCGCGTGGAAAAGCATCAACGCTGTGATTTGACAGAAACTTACCCAAACCTGTGCCGTTGCCTGTACTTCTCGAGATAACTTAAGTGTCCAATTTGTGTCCACATGTCACATGACTGTGAAAGAAGTCGGGCAGTGCACATCTAAGATACAAGTACTTAGGTGAAGATGCGGGTTGGAATCATAGTCAAGATCTCACCCAAAACTTCCGGTGCGTTTCAGATCACTAATCCATCATACTCCATTTATGAACAACAAAAGTTGCGATCATTGAAACTGACCGCCAGGTCTCATCCACAGGTGGAAGTTCTACGCCATCCTTCGGTGGCAGCGAGGCAACTGCTGGTTGTGGTCTCCCGCTTTTTCATTGTTGTTCAGCGCTTATATCCTGTAGACACGGTGGCTGGAGAAAACCCAATTTTGACCGTGCGAAGTCCGTTGAGGAGTTCGAGATCGAAGCTTCCAAAGAGGATCTTCGTGCAAGCCCAGACAGGACACCCGTGCCTTGGTCGCAACATATCGCAGCATGCAGCACAAACGTGTTTGAAGCAATGAATGTTGGCCACAGCCAACATGGTCGGTTCTTTCCATAACATCATGTGTTGCACCCATGCGGTTGCAGTGTAGGCTCCCTACACCGCACGTCAACGCCGACGTGATCGAGGAGAGCATCGGACATCTAGGGAAAGTCTCAGCTGTTGGACACAACATCACTGGGACAATTTGTCTATCTCCATAAACAATTGTATATTCCCCAAACAGTGTGGACACACTTAGGGGTTCTTACGGTAGGTGAAAAGCAGCTGATGCAGGCGTGACCGGCTAATTCGCTGCTATTTACGGTACATTCATGCCTCTAGGAATCCTCGAAGTGCATTTCGACTGCGCAGGCTCGCAGAATCTGGGTGTTTGCGGCGGGTGCTTCTAACGACTCCGCTCTCGTTATGGTGCCGTGCGCATTTTCGCACATGGAAGTGCAGATTTCGTGGCAGGCGCAGCACTTTGTGAACCTCGAAGTGCGGCAGGCGGCGCTTTGTGAACCTCGAGGTGCAGATTTCGTGGCAGGCGCAGCACTTTGTGAACCTCGAAGTGCAGATTTCGTGGCAGGCGCGGCACTTTGTGAACCTCGAAGTATTGCGTGGCAGGCGCGCCGATTTGCACACTGCGTGGCAGGCGCACCACTTTGTGCTCTCAGATGCTCACCTCTCGCTCGCACTCACACTCACATTAATATATTGGAAATGACTTGCTTGCGATCGGAAGGGCGGGCCAGAAACCAGTGCGATTTCCATGCTTCAATCTGGGTGTATGTAATCAGGAACGTCACCTAGCAGCCACCAGAACCATGAAACATGTTTAGGCTACGCCAAAGAAGAGCAGGAAGGTGCCGATTGGGCACGTTGTTGGTCGTTAGCCATTCAAGGGCTTTGTTTCTTTGAAGTGTCAGGATAATTGGGACAGATGACGACCAATGACCAAAGGAGGAAATCAAGTCTGTGCCCAAGCCGAATGTTGTTTCCTTTTCTTGACACTCTTAGCTGAATCTATTCTATGCAGGAGAAGTTTCGCGGAATGTTTCCCAATTGTGTAGTGCACTTCCGATTGTGAGCAGGATGCAACGATGATCAGCGTTGGCTCCAGTTTAAACACTTTAGTCCCCAGTGAGCAGATGGCAACAGTTGGCATGGAGCTTGCGGTGCCCGCACCTGCAGCCGCAGCCTCAATCGGTCATGGGATTCTATCTCTGACTGGAGCACCTCAAGATCCATTTGAGAGGCTAGATGCGACCATGGAGCCGACTCCTGAATGGGTGCATTTGCGCGGAGTGTTAGAAGAGAACCCCGCGTCCGTGCGCAACATCATTTCGCTTGCTTTGCTGAAGGAGGTTGCGCGCTCTTTTCAAAACGTGGCTGGTCAGCTTCAGGCCATGAGAGAAATCAAGGAGCAGTTTGAGAGGCTGCTTGAATCTGAAGAGGCTGCTTCCTTGGAGCATTTGATGCGTGACATTCCCCCCTCCGACATCCATGCCTTGGAAAGGGAAGCTTGCGGCATCAATGAAGACAGCAGGACTTTGAGGTCTGCTTTGGAGACTGGGGACATCAGCGGCTTGCACAGCAGGGCAAAGCATATGGCTAACAAAGCCAGGCGATTCAGGGAGAAGCATGCACGGCTTCGTCCCAGCTTGGACAAGCTGCAGCGTGGACTGATGGACATTGCCAGCAAGTGTGCAGAAAAAGCACAGAGATCAGACGAACTGATAGCAGAAGTGGAGCAAAGGAAGGACTTTTGGTGGAACCTTCTGGTTGTGGCCAATTGCCTTGCATTGCTTGGTGGTGCGGGCTTCATCATATGTCTACTGCCCACCACATGCCTTTCACTGGTACATTTGCTGGCCAAAAGCTGGGCGATCGGTAAAGCCAAAGTCTTGTTATCTACAGCGAAAGCCTTCGCAACCAAAACAGCAGCTGCAGCAACAACGAAAGCAGCCGCAGCCCAAACTGCTCAGGCAACTGCTGCCACCACCAAAGCTGCCTTGGCAACAGCTACAGCAAAGGCTGAGACAGCCAAGCATTTAGCTTCTTCCTTGGGCACAGCTGCGGCAGCAGAAGGTGCTGCAGGCACAGCTGCAGCAGTTGGAGCTGGTGTCGCTGCTGGTGGTGCAGCGAGTGTCGCTAGCATCGGAGCCCCTGCCGCAACCTTCTTGGGCTCACAGATGCTTGGCAGCCTTGGCGTGTCGCTGGGTTTGATGTCAACACCTGCAGCTCCAATTGGCGTGGTCCTGGGATCAGGAGCCGCCGCGGCCGCGGCTGTCAAGCTTATTTGGGAAAGTGTCACAAGTGTAGATACAGCTGCAGCGCTCAACGCCGCACAAGCAGCAACATCAGCTGTTGCTCAGCAGCAGGCCGCGGAACAAGCAGCAAACGCTGCTGCTGCCGCCATGGAAGCGGGGCAGGCTGCTAGTGAAGCATCCCAGGCAGCATCCCAGGCTGCAGCTGCTTTGAATGACGCTGCTGATTCTGTGTCTGCCCTGGAGGCGGCCATATCTTCCTTGTCAGCCACAGTGACAGCAGACGCTACTTTCCTCTTCGGTGGGTTTCTGCTGATGGCCTTGGTCCTGCTAGGATATGCAGGTCGAGACCTGGTGAAGACGCTCTTGGGACGGCTGTGGGCTGCTGAGATCGAAGAGCACCGCCGGCATAAGGCTACCTTTCAACACATGGAGCAGGTCGTTCGCAAGGCGGCAGATCAATTGCTGATGGTTTACAAAAAGAATAAAGCCCTTGAGTCTTGCTTGGACATAGTGGTGGAAGTTGCTGAGGACCTTGCAGCAAAGGCAGAAGATGCCTTGGAGGCCAGATCTGAGGAGAAGGAAGCTGAAATGGCAACACTGCACGAGCAAGTCGAGCAACTTTGCACCCTGTACGAGAATGTGCCTAGGGCAATGGAAGTGTTCCATCATTCCGTGCGTGAGCTCGGCCCAGCTGCCGAGCATATTCAATCTTTTGCTTACGGATCTGGAGCGCATGAGCCTCCCCAGGAAGGCCGATTGCTTGAATTGACCTTTTCTGCCACTGACCAAAACCCAGTGCAAGAATATGCTGTCAATGCAGTTGACCAGGATTCCCAAGCTGAAGGACAAGTACAAGTATTCTTTTCTGACAGCGAGGTTGCATGGCTTGTCATGGTTTGTAGTCTTTGTGTTTTCTGCTTGTGTGCGGTCTTCTGGATTCTAATTTGGTATTGGTGGATCTTTCTTTCATACTTGTCCATCGAGAGCCGCCACTGCACAAGCCGCAGTGCATTTCTTGATTTTGGGAATTGGGGGGATGGTTCTGCCATGGTGAGGTTGATGAGGACGAGGGCTGGATTCTGATCAAGTCATCATCGTTGCCGCTGCCTTTGAGGTCTCCTTCCGCATCTGACTGCTTACCGAGCAGCACATACATTTTGGTGCCAGTGATGCAGGCTGCTCAGCTGGGAGCTCTCTTCGCAGCAGGGCCCAGCAGGGACGAGATCATCAAAGTCAGTGCGCAGGGATCAGCTGCTCGGCTCATGCGGAATTTCTGCATTGGTGGCTCTGCATCGCATGACTTCACAGCTGATCATCCACTGCGAGTGATGAGATCAGGCAACTGGATCCAGGAGCAGGCGTCAACTGTACGAGTTGGAGATATCCTCAACACTTCTGATGGCATGAAGAAGGTCGAGTCCACGCGCGCTCCTCGCATGAGTTCTGAACAGGTCTTCAGCCTGGACATCCAGCAGGGTGGAGAGGTGTATGTGTTCACGCCGACTTCAAATCCAGATGGCCAGTTGTCTTGGAGTGGCGTGGCAGTGTTGGGTCATGTGGAAAAGACCCAAAGAAGTTGTTCTGCTCCACCTCTCTCGAAAAGGCCGTCCCGCGGCTCATGGCTTTGCAAGGGGAAAGCTCGCTGCTCCAACATTTGCCGCCTCTTCCAACGAGGCAAATGTGTCGATGGCGAGGACTGCCGCTTCTGCCACTTCCCCCACGCTGAGGAGCCCAAGCGCCAACCAAGAGCTCGCGACAGTGGAAGCAGCCAAGGTGCCTGAGAGTGGCCGACTCGACGTTTGGCCTGTTCATGTGTCATTTTCGTATGAGTCATACAGCTGAAGGTTGTCATGGATGGCTGGAACGAGCGCCGCTCGATGTGCCGTCAAATGCCCTGTGCAAGGCCAAGACAGCAAGACCGAGCGCTGCTCGATGCTTTCTTGGCCGGGAAAGCCCTGGGTCGGACTTCCTTCAGCGTCCAAAAAAATGATTCGCGCCTTAGCTTCCAGCTTGTCATCCGGTTCCAGTGATTTACGTTGAGCTTTCTGCCAGGTTCTCTTGCAAGAGCTTTGTCTTGGATATCCTGCATGTTGCAAAAACGGTTTTTCTGCGTTGGATAGTTGGCCTGAAATGTCCCCACCATGCAGCGCAACCCTTTCAGGTTGACTGGCTTCAGCCGATGGTGTTGTAGATCCTTTGAAGAGAAGGCAGCCGATTCGACTGTTGGACCACAGTCCTACCAGTGTTTTGCGCACATCTCAAGTGCACACATCACACACTTGTGGGGATTCGTGCCTGCTGCATGTACTTTTTGGATAGACTATCCAGTTTGAATGAAGCCCTAACAAGGGTGAGTGCTTGAGTTGCAAGGAGGATGACCATGAAAGCAGGATCAGGCTCAGCACACAGGCTGAGCAAACATTTTTGGAAGAAGTTGTGTATTCTTTGTGTACTATGCTTAGCTTTGCTGCATGATTGAATCATTGCTGTGTTATTCTGCCATTAAAACAGATGCAGCTTTGAGGAAAAGGGACAAAAGTGTGAGAGAGCATCGCACCTCTCATGGGGTTTGGCGTATGATGACGATACTCGGTTGCAGCACATTGGGGGCTGGAAGGCATCAAGGCATCGGCTGCAAGGAATCAGCACAGGAAAGAAAGCTTGCCGCACACTGCCGGAAGCGTCACACTGCTTTGCATTGCAATATAGCAGTTTTCTTTGTGGTCTCAAGGACTTGCAGTTTGCTCGTGTTTGTTCACTAAGGACATCACACTAACAACTTGGAATGGCACCATTTTTGGACCAATTGACACCGCCTATGATAACCGCATTTACTCCCTGGTGATTGTTTCGAGCTCAGAAAGCTGCAAGATGAAGTTCAAGAGCAGAAAAGAAATGGAATAAAGAAGGATAGGAGCAGGACTTCTTTAATGAGGCTAAGGCCCAAGAAAGAGCGACAGAGCTTTTGAGGTGACCGGGCCTAGCTATCCTGATGTTCTGCCTGAAGTTCGCTTCACGGCGGGCATCAATATGAATTGCGTGGAGCCCGACGGACAGGTGAAACCCACATGGGGAGTCCTAGGCCGGAGCTTTGAGTGTAAACGGAATGGAAAATAATTGATTTGCCGATGGGAGATGCTTTCGATTTTTGAGTGTTTGTTCTCTTTGTACATTGTACACAAAGGTTGGTTGGCCTACTTGCACAGGCAATTGGAAGCGAGAGTACACTATTGAGACGGTCTTAGATGCACTTCGACGCGAGATGTGTGGCTCTTAGTTTCAACAAGCTCAGTAGAAGAATGAACCAGCCCCATCAAGTTTCGCGCCGGTCAATTTTCCCAGGTGCAGCCCCAACAATCGCCATTTGGCACAGCCTGATACTGCGCCACCGGCGGGAAATAGCTAGAATCTAGCAGCAGCAAATGTCAGTGCCTTAGGAACGGGCTTTAGACCTGTAGACCTTTCAAGAGTTTTTCTTCAGACCAAACTAGGAATGAATGCTTCTTTGAAACAACAAAAGTTTCTTGCTTCTTTGAAACAAGAAGTTTCTTACTCCTTCCTCTATGTCTTTGTTTCTTTCAGGTTGTCTTCTTTTCTGTGTTCCCATTTTCGCTGGCTACTAGGATTGGAAGAAGCAGAAGAGGAAGAAAGCAAGAGGGGAGAGGGGCTCAAAGTTGCGGAACAGAGATCACAGCACTGAGGTGATAGGTGAGAATCACTTTGAGAACGTCGCTTGCTGAACAATTGTTTGCATCTCTTAAGTATTTTTGGTGTTTCGACATGAGTGTGTTTGCCAGGTTCAAGAGCTTGATGGGAGAAGCATGAAATGGGTTCTAGAAAAACTTCTGCAGCAAGTTCATATGATGAAAGCAGTTCAACACAAAGTTTTGACATGTGTTCAGTTTCGCATTGTTTGCTTTTTGCTTTGGAGATGCTGTTTCCTTCGGCAAATGTTACTGAGGCGGCGGAGCGTGAGAGGCTGACCCGGGAGGTGTCATGATCCACGAGATTCCATTTGTTTCATGAACTCAGACACATCCGGTCCTAGTGTTCTTTATGTTCATCCATAGGCTGTCTCTCCTTTAAGCCCTTCAACCACCCTCGGCTTTCTGAGATGTTGTCGAGTCCCCGCCTCTCACGGCTCTTTTTCTGTTTCACGCACCAATTGCCGTGGAAGTTGTCTGGGAGGATGGACATTTCAGTTGGTGCTTGTTAGGTCTTGTTAGGTCCTTGAAAACAAGAACGGTTTGCTTTCGCGCTTCCTATGAGGCCCAGACACTTTCCAAGTTTGCCAAACCCGGAGTTTTTTTGCCGAAGTACCGTGACGCCAGAAGATCAGGGCTTATGTTAGCCCTTTTCATGCAGAAGAACACAACGAAAGAATTGCACCCTACGGCAGAATGTCTGCAGAAAAGCATGCTCAGTGCAGTTTCGCCATTCAAACCTGGGGTCCCGAGTCTACGGTGTTGCGCCACGGCCTACAATGGGGCCGCAAGGAAGGGCATGACGCCCTGAAAGTTGGTCAGGTCCAAAAGCTATCAAAGTGAACAGAATTCTTCATGTGTGTGTTTTGCTGAATTGTTTTGACGAAAATTTGGCTTTGCATTGTTCAGAGTCAGGAAGTGCACCAGATATCTTTGTTACATTGAAGGTGGCCGTGACAAAAGAGGAGTTTCTCATCTGTCCGAAGCGACAAGATGTCCAAGCTGGGAGAGACACTTTTGGTTCCACACAAATGCATGTCCGCTTGCATTCCAAACCGACCCTGAATGTGAACCCCCTCTCAAAAGGTTCGCAAGGCTATTTTGCGGTCATTTCCCAGCTCCCTGCATGGCGCGATTGCGTGGACTGCCTTTCCTCTTGGGGGAAGTGAAGGAACTTGAGGTAAAGTCTTTTCCCTTCACATTCTTCAGAATGCAGACTCGATCGGAGTCCATTTCGTTTCGGATTCAAGTTCACTCGAGTCAGTCCGCAGGAAATGAAGCTGTGAAGTCTTTGTTCATGCGGAAGTTGTGGCGTCGGATGTGATGCTTTGGCGTCGTCTGAGTCGCTGGATTTCCGCATTTTTAGCGATTGGCCGAAAAAGAAATGATGTGACTAGTGCGTCTCGGGTAGTTTCCCAACATTAAACAAATGATGTGACC